CAAATATCCCTGAAGAATACTGCCACAACACACAAAATTATGAATACTGACAAGTTTTTATGCAACTGTGGAACTGTACAGGTTGTCCTTCCTGGTACACCTAGTGTATTTCTGTTGGCACCCAGTGTGATCAGATCAGACTGCATTTCATAGGAGACAAGACTTTCTCTTCCAGAGGAACAATAATAATTCCTTGCACTTAAAGTATATAGCATTTTTTTAGACACTCCACTCAAAGTGCTTTACAGGCAATGGGGACTGCCTCCACCACCACCAGTGTGCAGCCCCACCTGGATGATGCGACGGCAGCCATAGTGCGCCAGAACACTCACCACACATCAGCTATCAGTGGGGAGGAGAGCAGAGTGATGAAGCCAATTCATAGATGGGGATTATTAGGAGGCCATGATTGGTAAAGGCCAATGGGAAATCTGGCCAGGACACCGGGGTTACACCCCTACTTTTTTTTTTCGAGAAACACCCTGGGATTTATAATGACCACAGAGAGTCAGGATCCCAGTTTTATGTCTCATCCAAAGGACAGGATGGGACAGGAAAAGCACTCTTGAATAAAATTCCACTTTTTTGCCAAGGTTTCCATCTGTAAGAACAACTAACTTTTTATTTAACATTTTTATAATTCTCTAAAGTGCCTTGCAGATGTTTTTACACCTTTCCAACGGTGTCCCACTATGTTCAATTACAAGTGCCAATCACATTTATCACAGGGAGGGCAGGAGGGGTGCCCAAGTGAGGTCTTTTAAAACAGGACAATGGCTCAGCCGCAATAGCACTTAGGTGCAAAAGTGATGATTTATTAGGACAGTGCTCCCCACAAACCAACAAACTATTATATATAGTAGAAAACTAACAAAGTGGAACAAATATACACACAAAAAAACCTCAAACGCTTCCTCAGAGAATTCCATACCAATAGCCCCACCCCTTCTGTCCTATCAGTTCTCCCTAAGCCTGCCGAAGACGCCCCCTAAATAGGCACAGTATAGCCCTGCCCCCTCGGACTGTACCACTGTTACATAAAAAAATATTGAGCTGCATTTCCCATGAGAAACTTATTTCCAGCCACAACGATCCATTCGTTCCTTTAAACAATATAATATACATGTACAAAACAATCCCAACCCTGAAGAATTTTTTTTACTCATTTTTAACTGTATCTGTAAAAATGGTACTTCCTATACCGGAAGATGTGCGCATGCACCGCTCAGCGTTGACGCTACAAAGCCAAGCTGAAAATAGGTATCGGGTTTGGACCAATGAGGCCACCATACCCGGAAGTCAGACTGCAACAACGCGGGAAAAGAAGACGGACAGACAGCGCTCTTTCGCTCAGCTAAGTACAAATAAACAGAAAACATAACGTTAGTCCTTCAGAGTTTGTGTTTGTGTCTGATTTTCTAGAGATAACAGGAACTGATTTCGAAATAAAATGTGGTTATGTTTTGTGTGTATGAATGGGAAACTGCTAGTCGAGCATATTGTCATTTAAATATTCACATTCATTTCCCCATCTGTTTTGATGCCAGCAGGTAAATTTTGGGAGACTTTATAACCTTAAGGCCTTATACTAAAGGAACTTTCTAGAATGGTTTATAAAAAAACTGTATATACCCTTAATGACTCATGCATTGAATAACAGTCCCTCCTGGAGCAGGGTTCTTCTTGAAAACATTTTTATGGCACAGACTAAATAACGTCTTTTCATATTTCTTTGTTTACAAGTATGATAAACATTCACTTGTACACTTTTTGTCTCGAGGCCTAACAAGATGTAATCCAGATATAATGACATCACAGAGGTGCTTGTAGTTAGGCAAAAGTAACTACAGCCAGACATCTGCGACGTATTTTTCCCGACTTGTATAATTTACAAATCCTTTAAACAGAAGATGCGTAAAAAGGAAGGATGTGGACTTGGCCTCGGTTCAAGAAATAGAAATAAAAAGCTCTGTAGTGTCTTGTGTTCTGTACATTTAAAATAAAAAAGAAAGAACCTTTAGAGTAATATCTTTAAACTTTCCATTCAAGTAATCTCAAACTATAAAACACAATTTAACAATATATTATTATTGTGGATATGTCTTAAAGGAAGTATAAGATTTTTTCTTGAATTTGTTTTGTTCATAGAAACAAAAGCACCGAAGAATGACAAAGAATACAGATTACGAGTGACAATTTCAGTCAATACTTTGATGCAATGGAGCCATCACACATTCACTGAATTCCTTTAGCATGATACAGGAGTTTACTTTTGTAACTTATCAAAGTCAAGAAGTTGTAAAGTTCTCTCCAAGCTACCCATGTTTAAGAAAGTAACTGAAGAAAAAAGGCAATTTTACTATTCAATCTCTAACTGGCTCAACAGAAGAAAATCTCAAGAGTACATCCAGCTGCAATAAATTGCATACATGAGCAGATGATGATAGAGAGACATAATGTAAACCTAAGGCTGGATGGTTGTTATGCTATCTTAACATTCTGCATGGAAATATGCATTGTTTTTCACATTTGTAAACAAGACATTAAAATAAAATTACACAAAAATCTGCAAACATTCTTTGCACATGTACATTTTAACTCTATATAGTGGCAGAAAAAATGGAAGGAATTTAGGAAGGAACACAATAATAAACACAAGATAAAGTTAATTAATTAAAATGACCTTAGTTGTTTTTTTTATTAATTTGTTGCTACTGATTAAAATTATCAAGTATTTTTTGTCTAGATAGCGGTTTGAAATTTTTACAATATAGAATGAAATATAAAACACAGAAGGTGTATACAATACACAAGTAAGACTAATATTTTATAAGTTTTTTATGCTGTGAGGTTTTCAAAGCACTTAAGTTCTTAGGGAGAAAAATACTAACGCCATAGTATTATTGCTGTATATTTTTAAGTGTTTGCTACAGGGTAGGGATTACACTGCAACTTCAGAGTCTCTAAACTGTTATGCACCAACTTGAACTAACAAAAATGTAAATACTAACCAGCTTTAAGCTTTATCCTGCAATGCAGTCATAGACAATCTTCCCAGTCTTCCACAAATCCTAAAGGTATACTTAAGACCATCTAATTCACAAGCTTCCTGATAGCTGTCTGTTTGATTTACTTTAAAACCCAAAGAGGTTTTGTGATTTTTAGTTTTCATTGCTCTAACCTGTCTAGCGTTCTAAGGTTGGGCAGCAGTTTGGAGCAGTAATTACAGTGCAAAAAGGTATATACCTTTCAATTTATACATTATAAGGCACTTCCATATTTCAATCCATATTTTAATTGTTGTTGAATCATTTTTCAAACTATCAATAATATATTTTAATAAATGTTGACAGCTTTTAATCCGTTCATTCATATCATGGACAATACACTATTTTCTGATGAAATATTTTAAAGAAACCAGCGACATACTTCCATAATATAATAAGAACATAAATATAATAAGAACAAAATCTAGGGAAATGACTGGAGGGCATCCCTTTATACACTACTTGTCACAGAAACCCTTTCATAGAGGAATCAAACTACTTTTGTTGTAGAAACAGAAAAAAAAAACATACAGAAGATCACGATTTGACCTGATGTAATAGTTCACCAGCACCCTAACCATTGGTATTTAATCACCTAGTTAATGAATTTTTATTTTCTTTCCAAGACGTAATTTTAGAATTGTAACTAAAAGCAACTCCCTCAATGCTTCATTAAGCATTTATTAAACATTTATGGTTAGAAAAGGAATTTCACTAATTAGTATTCACCTGCCCAGTTCAAACTGACATTATCCAGCAACTGTTTCCACTGAAGGTTGCACAAGGTCAAAGCTTTGCGCTGCAGTTACTGTACCTGCACACTGCTGTTTGATCTGTAGTGTTGGTGCTAATGGTGACTTTCAAATGGAAGATAATTTTTTTCTTTTCCACCTTTTCCTGTCCTAAGGCTGTTTGTTAAAAGTAGCCCTACTGTGTTAAGCAAAAATGTTGTGTAAAATAGCCTGTACTGACCTAACATTTAGCTCCCCAAAACCAGCAACAGTGTTAGTTAACGCCCTGAATATCTCATTGCTGAACAGATGGACAGCTTTCATTGTACCAAAATGTAGCTTTTTGGGGTTCTCAACAGAGACGTCAATAAGCAGTGAATATGCCTGGCCTTGGTAAACAGATATGGTAGTGTCTTCCATCAGTTTATGCTATCCAAAGATGTTCCTGCGCTTTCAGCCTTTGTTAATTATAGGGTGGATGTTTAGTCTGTGCACATAGTGGTCTGTTCTGATAACACAAGCTCAGATCCTCAAAAACCTTTTTACATTTTTATTTGTACATTGACTCAGCAAGATGCAGGTATTATGTCTGAGGGAAAATGCATACGTCAGAAATGCTGCATCTTAAAAGTATGTTTACCGTGATACAACAGCAGAATCAAACTTGTAAACATATGTCTTATGGATCATTCTTTGTTTATACATATAAATGAAAAAGTAATGGTTATGCTGAAAAGTACAAAGAAAAGGTTTGACTGTTAAGCCTTTTTCAAATGAAGAAGATAGATTTTCACAGCATCTCAGTAGTAAATCATACTTATCTTAGACCCATATCATCAGTGATAGTTTATTTCACTCAAATATGTCTCATGTTGCCTGTTTGTAACAGTGATACCCTTTTGTATGAAGTCAGTAGCAAAATGTGTTTTTGTACCCATTTTGTCTTTTTGGTCTTGCGTGACTTGCCTAAATCAATTGTTAACTTATCAACCCAAATTATTACTCTTTCCAAGCCTTTAGTCACAGAGGTATTTAAACCTACAGAACTGTGGCTTTTCAAGCCCAAGATTAAAGATTACTGTTTCATGCTATAGCAGCTCTTTCTGCACTGTCTGCTACCTTTAGCAAACCATCAGCTTCATCTGCAGCTTCTGCTTGGTGTGGCAAGTGTATGATTTTCACAGTGGCCCTTGAAGAAAATGCAGTTGAAGTGATTACTTACCCGAGCACCCTTTTCAGGAAAACATTTACATCCTCCACTGCAATCTCTTCCACCACATGGCCCAGAGTATGATTTTCCACCCTGCAAGACATGAGGAAAAACATTTTCCATCAATGGTAGCAAACAGAGCTTTCAGTTAGCTGTATTGTCGCTAATTTGTAATTTGTTGATTGATCAACATTTCTGAGATTTGAAGCCCTGGTATTTGCATTTAATTCAAGTAATTCATACAGCACATGTCCTTGGAAAAGAATACACAGAAAAGAGTGTTATACAGTCACATTATAGTTTGCACCAATATAGTAAGCATCAAAAGAAACATAGTATTCTATTTATGCATGTTTGTTTTTAACAGAAGCAAAAGGATTTCTTGACATGATTTTGATGTAAGTTTGATTTAACTGATTACTCAAGACTGACTGTAATACACTCAAATGATGAAACCTGTCGAAAGTTGAGCCTGGTGAAAACTAATAAGTAAACGCATAGAAGGGGAGCAATTTATCCTGCTTAACAAGAGAACAATTCTCTTTCCTTTCCCTTTAATTATTTTTTGGAAATTCACACCAACTTTCACAAGCAACAAAGGGACACAGCATTTGTCTGTGACCTGTTGGTTCATCTGCAAGAAATATAGTTCTCACAGGTCTAAAACCCTCATGTACGACTTTACATTGAAAATTGCTATTGCATACTATGAAATTCTGTTGCTGCCATCAAGGAAAAATATTTAATGTACATCTCATAATTCTCAATTAATTATCGTGAAATTATGGAATGATTACTTATTTACTTGAAAATTATCTTATTACAAGATAGAAAAATAACATCATTATCACAAGATAGTAAATTATCTCAATTTGTGATAATTAGGAGATAGCACACTTGTCATGCAATACCTACATTATCATTAATTGACTTACTTTAATCTGTGAAATCAATTGCATGATAGAACTGAAAAACTGCAAGATTTCATTATGACTAAACACCATTTGAAAGTACAGTTAGTCCGCTCAAATTCTGTAGCATTGACAGTTTGTGTCTTGTAATTATGCAATCATTTCTTATTTGCGATAAGGATATAATCAACAATCTGATTTTAACTTATCTAGTTTATTGTAAATAGAAGATAATTTCATAAATGTGTGATAATTATTATAAATTATAAATTAAAATATTTTTTTTCCCCTCATGGTAGCAATGTGCTTCTGGAACATACAATTAACAGGTATATTGATGGTTTCTTTTATTCACATAAAAAAAGACATAGGTTAATTAATGCAATAGTGAGTCCCTATCACAGGTGATATCCCAATCATAAAAGTTCTATGTTTTTTTTAATCAACCTAGACTGGATGCAAATATGTGAAATTTTCAGACCAAGGCATTAGATAGTCAGATTTATTCCCAGTGCATCAGACTTGCAAGCTATGAGATTACCTACCATCTCAGCTGCCTGGACTGCATGCAAATGAGGGAAACCTTAAAATCCCCTCATTAACCTTGCAGTATGTGCAGATTACTTAATAGTACAGTACATTGCATTGTCAGCACTGCTTGCAAATAAGAAAATGTTACTGATTACAGCTCACTCACTTGTTAGAAAAGAGGTTTGTGAGTTCCTAATAAATGAACACGTACTGTAAACACTTTAAAACTAGTAAAATCCATAATTTTATTCCTGGATATATTAAAGTTTCCAAAAGTACACCTGGTATCTCTGACCCTTGTTAAAATTAATTTACATTTTGATTTTGCAGTTTTAGTTGAAAAGGTACTACACTTTGTCACTTACTTGAAAAGAGTGTTATAAAATTAATTTAATGTAAGTCACAATGTAAATCATTCCCTTTGGAGTAAAAAAATCACTAATTTAACTGCACTTTCACGTTTTACGCATCTCAAGGTTCTCGTTATTGCTCCATTAATAAAAAACGAACACTATCATAGGTTTATGATGGTGAGGCCCGATTACCTGATTCCTTTTACTTCGTTAATGATTTTGAACTATAAACTTATATTACTGAAGCATTATAATGCCTCACTAAAGCCATGGTGATGCTCCTCAAAAACAAAAAAAGTTGTAATCTATTAAATTATCATGCTTCGTTAATATGGGATCATTAATTTTACTGTGTTCCGAGGATCAAATGAACGCAGTGAGTGTGGTGCAGTGGTTACTATTGCTGCCTTTACTGAGGCCTGGGTTTAAGTTCCTAGGCTGCTATTTGCATTGTGTGTTCTCCCGGTGTTCCTCTCATAGTCCAAAGACATGCTGGGAAAATTGGCCCTGGTTTGAGTGTTTGTAGCAGTCAGTGCCCTAAGATGGACTGGCGTCCCATCCAGGGTGTATCCTGCCTTGCACCCGTTGCTTGCCGGGATAGACTCCGACTCCCACACAACACTGTATTGGATAAAGTGTTAAAGAAAATGGATGGGCAGATCTAATGAAATTATTGCTTGTTGAAAACAGACTTTCAAAAATGTATTATATTAATATCGCAAACCACACTCATAAACCTGGTGCTATTGCATTTTCTGCCTTAATATCACATGGATTTTATCATGTCATTATAATATCTACATTGATATCATTATTTTTCAAGACTGCACCGTTGTTCTTTAATGTATACTCTAATACAATATATTGTAATACAATACAGTATTTCATACATGGTATCCTCTGTAAAAGAACTGCAAACAGCATAGAAGGAATCAAAAGAATGTAAATTATTTTACATTCACAATATGTTGAGTATTATAACACAAAGAGATCATTGATTTTCTAACTCTTTCTGCAAAAAGATTCTTTTGTTCCAAGATGAGGTTCTTTTATGCTTCTATGCCACCAACTAACAAAAGCTAATTCTCCACAAGGAATGTAAGGAGTTTTATTCCTTTTTAACCTTCATCTTTGACTTAACTCTATAGTTATCTGAGACTAACAGGACCTCAAAAAGCATCACTGTTGGTACTCTGAAAGCATAGAAAATGACACAGAGGATGACATCCAAGGTATTTTTTTCCTTCTGTAACATTTGCTCTGCCATTTGTCTTTCTAAATAAGTGCTTGCTGTAATTCCAAAAGTTTACTTAGGTGAAAAAACAAAAATCATTCACTCATCTACACCTATGAGGCCAATTTGCTTAAATATTTACAATAACTTTCAGACATCCAGGGAACATTTTTGCTCTGGAGTATGTCTAGGCTCCACAGCTGAAACATTGTGTTTCTTTTACTTTCAGCATGGAATAAACTGTTACCTGTTCCTATTCCAAATATCTTTTTCTTAAAAAGAAAAAAACGGAGGAAGCTGTTAATACATTTCTTTTTTGTTTTGAACCATTCTTGTGGCGAAACAACTCTATTGCAAATAATTGAAGGCAAATATCTGGAAACTGGTCTCACGCTCGTCTCATGACAGCTTTGTAAATATCTTTTTAGACACGGTATATGCAACAATAAACAATGTTTTGTTTGCAATGCACAAATACAATGCTATTTCAAGTATGGGACGACGTGAACAAAAGCAAAATGAATAATGCAGACGGAATTCTGAGGACTACAGTTGAGTATTCTTCAGAATTTCCTTGTAAAGTCTTCAAGTCTATAGAAACAATGATGTTTGTTTAAAAACAATGTTTAAATGTTTATAAAAAGTTTAATGTTTAAAAACTTAAATTCATTTTTTTATGTACTTGTCATCAAATGATTACTTTGAAGAACACACAACACACCAGTCATAGGGCGGTATAGGTATAAAAATCTTGACCTTTCATGCTTTCAACAGATACTGTGTAATTTCCTCGCAGGGAGTTGAGTCAAGAAGGTGAAGACTGCTGACCCTTATTAGTCTTCAGACTCTTTTTTTGTGTTTTAGTGCAGCGTGTTTTGTCTCATCCATATGTTTTCAAGCTTATCGTCCATAAACAAAGAATAATTCGTTATTCTTTTAAATAGCTGAAAATAGCCTTATCGTATTCTGCATTACACAGCAATGTATTCTCCTTTCTTAGTATTGAAGTGTGTTCCTCATGTCAAATTTATTTTTAGTTCCAGGAGGAGCGAGACGTGCATCTGTTACTCCTCTCCATTTCGTGACGCGTAAAATATCAAATGCCTTAATTAATTAAAAGTTTGCATCTGCAAAATGCATCATTTCTCAATGTTCCTAAAAAAAATATAAAGACAGAGCTCAGTTTTCTTAGGAGGTACGGTGCATGGGGTGTGTGAATCAGTTTTTGTCTCTTTATATTGTTTCAGTATGAATATTAACTGACTTTTTAATGTCTTTCATAATGTACAACACTCAGGGGAGAGCTCAGGAAAAGCAGTTATTTTTGGAATACTAGGTGGGTTCCATATGTAGTTCTAAAGGTTAATGAATAATGGTTTCTGACTTTCACTATACAGAACGTGATTAGGAAGTGGAACAAAGGATTTTCGGGAAGCATTATTTATCTGTCACAGCCAAACATTTGCAAATAATAAAATGAACACTGCATACCTTTCATCTTAAGAATCATAACAGACCACCCAGATACCCCAAGAGTTGTCTACAGTATATGGATATAGCTGGAAGACATGTGGATTACATGATTTTAGATTGCATTAACCTGAGCAGCACTAACAGACAGCATTCTTAACATTTTGCAATGTCTGCCACTAATGCAAGACAAAATACTGGTCTCCATGTTGGGGGTCTGAACATTCCAATGCTTTTTAAAAAATATTTGCACTGTTTAATTTTTTTCATCATTGTTTAAAAAAGGTGGGATAAGTAATGAAAGTGCTATACATGTTTGGATACTGTTGGATGCTTAAGTAACGTACATGTACATTTTTTGCGTGCTATACTGTAGCAACATTAAGTAAGAATACACTGTTTGATTTTTCCTACCTTTTGGGAACATAAAGTACAGTCCATCTAATAGATTCCTGAGTGTAATGGTTTTCTGCCTTTTTTGCCTTATAATACCTCCAGGGTAAAAAACTGGTGTTTCTTAAGACAGTAGATTGATAGAGATACTAACCAAGTCCCATGATGTCTGTTTTCTAGAGGGAATGAAGTCTTCCATTG